AAGGACCACGCTCCAAACTCAGCCATACGTGCTCCGTTTTTTCTCGCTCGATCGCTGCAATGATCGTTCGGACGCCCTGACTTGTGCTCACATCATATCCGTTCCAAAAGGCAAATCTTTTGGCGCTACTCTCACACCCAGTCATACCACGCATGTTCTCTGTGAGCACTGAGTCTGGGCCACAAGCAATGTCGAACAACACCGGTCGTTCGGCCTGTACTGTAGGGCCTCCATGCACTCTGGCAGCAATCGTTCAGCCTGCCATGCCAGAGACCTAGATTCGGAAAGACTTTGCTTTCCAACCCTCTCAGCCGACAGCGTCGGACTCCTCTCCCAGAGTCTTTGGCAACATGTTCTCATTCACGCCATGCTGGCCTTCTCCCACTCCCTGAAGCTGCTCATAGTAGTCACGTCCTCGCCACAGTGTGTCCGACGTTTGGACTCCTTCGACTCTTCGACTCCTCCAAGGACTTCACGGCCGCCACCGCCACTCAGAACACCCTTCACTTCCTCTGTCTGGATGTGCTGGTCACCCCCTTGGACTTCCCAGACGCATACCCTGTCTTCTTGTTCGAGCTGGCAGAGTCGACTCGTTCTCTGGGATGGTCTGTGTCCCCAGCCAGGCTGCCAGGCGGTAACAGGCATCTCCCTCCATGGCCGTGCGAACCACCCAGCGGCAGTATACTGGCTCCTTCGTGGCCACCTCTTGATATGTCAAGTGGCTCCACTATCCCACTGGATCTCGAGGATGACCCTGAGTGATCATGGCAGCCTTCTCCAAGATCTTGAGACGCAAGACACCTCGGTGGTCTTGTTGCCCGTCAGCATCAAGCCCACTTCCTCGGCTAGCTTCAGCACTTCGGACTTGCGGCGACTGGCCTGATTCACTTTGATCTCCTTGAGGGGAGTCTGCAAGATCTCGTCCCCCTCCAGCTCCACCAGGCGCGGCAAGATCTGCGCTCGAGACCATTGCTTTGGAAAAGTTTTTTCATGGCTCATCAGACGCTCCTTGAGCTCTGACATGTGCATCTTGGAAACAGCCATTTCAATAGCTAGAGTGAGGGGACACCTGAAAACACTTGATCCGCGAGTGCGCTGCTGCTGGCAGAGTTTCGTCAAACTGAACTTGACCTACTTCACTCTTCGCCTCTACCTTATGCCATGGCTGTCTACCACCTTGTTGATCACCTTGAGAGACCTGTTCCAACCCTTGGTTGTTGACGGCATTGCCCTGTGAGACTACTACCCGTCTATGCTCAGCACCATTAAGCGCGTCACCGCTAGGAACCGAACCGCTGAGAGCACCACCACTAAGCCCCTGGCACATAAGGTCGCGACCACTGGGTGGCTGGCACCTGAGGTCCTGACGGGTAGGGTCCTGACTGTTAAGGTCCGCACAGTGTGTCATGTCATGTTTTCCTGTGCGCGTGTGCGTGTGTGTTGTATGTCGGTTGTTGGCTTCCTCAGTCCCTAATCCTGTGACCTTCGCCTGGTTGATGCTGCCCTCCAGTTTAGTTTTCTGTTCCCCTACACCATTTGGACAATCCACCGGCCCCACTTCTCCTGGCCAATTGCTACATTCAAATTGTTGAATTTCGTACCCATGGAAACCTGCTGCACTCTCAACCTTTCTACTCTGTGCAGGAACTGGAGTAGAAAGGAGTTGTCCCTACTCTAAGTCCTTAAAGGATGGGACGGCCCTGGCCAGCTGTTTCGCTGACTGATAGACATCTTCAGTCAAAGGCATGACCTGGTGCCCTTGCCGACGACCTTTCCAGCTGAATCGCCCTGGTGGGATCTACATGCCTAAACACGGCCAGGTCATTCTCGAAATCCACTAAGGCCCCGAGCTGTCGGAGAGAGTGCGCTGACAGAAGGATCGGAGCTGACCCTTGGTCCAGCGCGTGAACCTTCATCATGCCAAGTTTGCCACCCATGGGAACTGAGACGCTGGCGGTTGATGCACATTGATTCTTGCTGGAGTTACCAAAGCCAAACGGGTCTTTCAGAAAGATCTACTTTCTCGATGCCGGTATGACCTGTCTTCTCCACATTGATGTTGGCTAGGTTCTCCAGTGCCTCAATTGAACCAATCGTCCTTGTGGCTCCACCATCCAGCACTGCTTTGCCCTGTGCCACCACGTGTGCCGTGGTCACACAGGACTGAGACTGGTTCATCTCAGATGTTCCCCATGCCAGTTCGCAGCCCTGCTTCTGTGTGTCCTGTGATGGCCAGAACACAAACGGAGCCGCTTTGGTGGCTGTGGCAACCTTGGCTTGCTCAACTCCTTTCGGCTTCTCCTTGCAGTCAGCGATCTAGTGAGGACCTCCGCAGCGGAAGCAGTGAATGGCCGGTTTGGACGACCCCATCTGCTCCCACAGGCTGCCATCGCCACCCTTGCCTCCTGGTCTCGGAGCGGGCGTGCATTCGCACAGCGTGTTGGCGAGCTCTAGCGTCACGGAGTGTGTGGCGCGCATCTTGCATCGCCACCCATGCCGCTCTTGCCGTCTCCTCCTCCTGAGCAATGGCACCGATCTCTTCTGCGGAGTATCCCTCTGCCTCCAGTTCATCTGCTGCATAGCCCTGCGGTTCGTCTCCTTCGTCCATCGCCAGGTTGGACATGTATCTGCCCTTCTCTGCGTCTCTTTTCCTGAGGTCTGCATCTGTGCAATGCTTGCGAAGCCCTTCTTCAACTGCTCTGACTCCGAAGTCGCCCCGAAGCTCTGCAGCACATTGCGCTCCATCACGTCCAAGCCTGAGTCCATGAACAAATACCAGCCTTGGATGAAGTGAAGGATTTCAGGCAACTGGTGCTTGCCCCACTCACTCGTGTCACGCTCTTCCCAACTGCCATGCATGTCTCCTCTCCCACGACCAGGACTGGTAGTTCCACCAGCCACTGGACCAAGAGTCCCACTCTTGATTGGACCACTCATCTTGCCGGCTCTCCTGTTCTTCCTGGTCTTCCACGGGGTCCTGGAAATCGTTGGCTTCCACTCCATCATCTGCCTGGCTGCTTGTGGACTCGCTTGTGCTCCTCATGGACGTTGCAATGGGCTGTTCTCTTCCCACACGTCCTGAGACTCCTTGATACCTGGCCATGGACTGCTGTGCTCTCGTGTAGGCCGCGGTCTTTCTGAGGATGAAGTCCCCCATGCTCTCGCCACGGTGCCTTCTCGTGCCCTTGAAGTACTTCATCAGCAACTCGGACATCTCTGGCACCTTTGGTTGCCTTCTCTCACTTCTCAACGCTGCTATGAGCTTCCTCACTCCTCCTTCTTGTGACAGCCAGGCTGCTGACCTACCTATCAGGACCCTCCTGGCTGGCCCTTGTAGTTCGGCCGCTACCCTTGGCCCACAAAGGTACCGCTTCTCCTTCACCACGGTCTTCTCATAGAGCAGGCATGCCTCCACATATTCCTCAAAGAGAGAGGACTCTCCCGATCATATGGGGGCTCCATCTTTGCTCCTCTGCACTCCATGACCTCCGGTGCTACCACCTGCCTCGGGGCGGCTCTGCAGCCCTGAGTACCACATCTCATCCCTCATCATCCTGGAGCTTCACACAAGGCTCCGCTATCGTGCCAGTAGCACCAGGTGAAATCACCACAAAGCGCAGCTGGATAAATTGCCCGGCGTTGATTTCCCTTCAAGAACTAGTTGAGATCACAAAACCCAGGATTCCACTCACAACCTCAGTGCCGGGGCCGGGAACGGCTAATGCAGTCACTATGGCACAACAATGTGAATGATACGAATCGCACAACGAGGGGCCCTGTTTTGATCCACAGCACTTGCCGTAGTCATGGGAATGACGAACCAAGGCTACTTGGGTACGAATGACAAATTGCATATAATATGCACGTAAATATAATATGTAGAGAACCTGTAAAAATATGTATTTAACATGTATTTAATATGTATATAACATGTAAATAATATGTATATATGTATTTATGTATATATGTATATATGTATACATGTATATATGAATATGTATATATGTATATATATACTTATATACCATGTGTATTTATACACATAAAAAGTGTATATATAATGCGTATATGTAAAAACAACAAAAAGTATATAGATAGAATACAGATTGTGATATATAAATATTTTCTGGTATGGATATATAATATGATATATATAATATGATATATATATAGAATATGATATATAATATGATATATATAATATGATATATATATAGAATATGATATATATATAATATGATATATATATAGAATATGATATATATATAATATGATATATATATAATATGATATATATATATATAAAATATGATATATATAAAATATGATATATATTAATTATGAAATACATATATATAATGAAATGTATATATATTGATATAATATATATATATGTATATTATGAGCTATATATATCTTATGATATATATCTTATGATATATATATATAATGATATATATATATATATATATAAATAATGAGACATATATATATATTATGATCTTTATTTTGATATATTTTGATATATATATATATGTATATATATGTATATTATGATATATATATATATATATTTGATATATATATATATTTGATATAGATATATATACATGTATTAACATGTATGTATATATTTAAATCTATATATATATATACACGTATATTACGGCATAACTTTTGATATATGTATATGTATATGTACATGTATATGTATATGTGCATGTATATACATATATGTATATATGTATATGTATATGTATACGTATACGTACAATTATATGTATATGTACATGTGTATGTGTATGTATATGTATATGTATATGTATCAAGAATTATGTATATATTATATATATATGGTATGTATATATATATATATGTATACATGTATGTCAAAATTGTATTTCCTGAATATTTCTGTTTGTTTTTTAAAGAGGCTGTAAGGTGTACGACTCACGCCCAAACACAAAGCAACCGCCAGCCCAGCCAGTTCACAAGTTAAGGTGACCTAGTGGACTTGTCAGAGGAGCACCACTGTTGCCAGCCCAACTTCACAAGTTTTCTTGCCACATCTTGCCACATGCTTCACCAGAGACTTCGGCTGCCTCTGAAGGAGTGGTATGGTGACCACAACGTGCCTTGGTACTACGACATGGTGCGCATCTCAGCCTGACGGAAACAATACAGATGGTACAGATGCAACCGAGCAAAACATCAGTGATTTGTGATGCCAGCCACTTGCCTTGGATGGTGTGCCAGCCATACATGTTGATAAGCTTCCGCCAAAGAGACACGCAAACAGACGGCACCGTATGCGAGGCACAGAAGTACTCCTTCTCGTCATTCAGAACTTTTGCGCTGTCAGACTTTGGACAGCGCACACTGGGCACTTTTTTATGGCTGACCGGCCAGGTTGGACGACATTGCTGATCTCAAGTGGGCTAAGTGGGCATAAAGGCATAAAGTAGGATTGTGTTTGCCTAAGCCTTGATGTTGCAGTAGGCTCATCAACAGGTTGTCGCACTAGGGTATGAGCAGAAACATGTGACGTGTTGGTTGGCATGCTCCACCGGTTCAGAAGGGCACATTGAAGTTCACAAGCTGCTATGTATACATCATTATATATATATAAACACATACATGTATGTTTTTCTATGTATCTTTATATCTATATATATATAAATATGTATGTGCGGAACTAAATCTGGATAAATCAATCAACCTAACAATCTTCGATCAAATTCGCAGATGGATCCCTCGTACCTCGCAAACATACAGCCACATACCTCGGTACCCTCCTTACAGATACTGTTGATGATAAACAAGAAGTCATGAATCGCATCGCAGACTCAATCCGCACTGGCAACAGACTCAAACTGTTTTGGGCCAAAGTGGATTTTTCATTCACTCCTTCGGGGTAAGCTTTTATATGGGTTGGAAACTGTACAGCTTAACCGGTCAGAACTTCATCGATTCGGTGCATTTCAGATCAAAGGATATCGGAGAAGGCTACATATCCCACCCACAAGTGTTGACAGAACAATGACCAACGCATCGGTAAAAGAACTTCTCAAGAATCATTATGGTGTCACAGTTTTAGGATTCTCAAAATTGCGGTTGAAAAGAAAAAATCAGCTCCTAGGACGCATCATTCGAGCAGACCCACAAGATCCCACGCATCAGGTCCTTTTTCTACCTTATTCGCTCATACCTAGAACTGAACATGCAAGACGAGTAGGCAAACCCAGAGGTCACTGGCTAATCGAAACCTATGCAGATACTTCTAGAGAAAGTGGTCATGTAGATCAGTTTGACATCAACAACATTCTTCAAAGACATTTAGTAAACGAATTGGCCCAACAAAGACCCACCATTTTTTTCCTGACACTCCGACACCCACCTTTTCACCGAAAGTTCCATCACCGAAAGATTCGTCACCGAAAGTTTCGTGATCGAAACCGGGCATATTCCCGGCCCGGCCTCAGAAATAATAATAGATTTCTACACCTGTTCGCTCCTTTTTTATTTCTCTTCTTGATAATTTGTTTTTTTCCCCGTCTTTTTCTGTGATTCAGGCCAAAAATCATGGTGCTGCAAGGTTCGCAAGTTTAGTTTCATTCTGCGAGGCAGATAGCTATCCTCTGGATTCTCCACTCAGCTGCGGCTTGTGCGATGCAAAAAAAATATATCCGACAAGAGACCCCAAACAGTGTGCAGTGAGGATTCTAAAGGGATCAGTGGCTGCAAGCTAGCAGGACAAGAGCGACTCTAGTAGTGAAAGCATGGTGTTCATTCAAGGTGGTCTCTGGAAGAAGAGATACCAGGTAAGATTCTGCAAGTTCCCTTTGTGAAGACCTCTGTAGAAGATCGTGCGCAAGATCTCCTTGACAGGTTCTCTATCTCCGTACAAAATATCTATAGCAGCTCTGTTGGCAAGATCTCTGTAAGAGACCTCTTGGCAAGATCTCTATACAGATCTCGATAAGAGGTCTCTTGGCAATATCTCTTAATAAGGTATGTGTACAAGCTCTCTATGCAAGCTCTCTTGGCGAGATTTATGTAAGAGACCTCTTGGCAAGATCTCTGCAGCATGTAATGTCTGTGTACAAGATCTCCGTGAGAGGTGTTCTGGCAAGATCTCTGTACAAGATCTCTGAAAGAGGTCTCTTGGCAAGATCTCTGTAAGGGGCCTCCTGGTAAGATCCCAACAGCTCTCTATGCAATTTCTCTGTACAAGATCTCTGTATGAAATCTCTGTACAAGCTCTCGAAAGGAGTTCTCTTGGCAAGATTTATGTAAGAGACCTCCTGGCAAGATCTCTGCAACAGATCTCTATGCAATTTCTGTGTACAAGATCGAAAGAGGTGTCATGGCAAGATCTCCGTACAAGATCTCTATATGAGGTCTCTTGGCAAGACTCTTGAAGAGATCTCTGTACAAGCTCTCTAAAAGAGCTCTTTTGGCAAGATCTCCGTAAGAGACCTCTTAGCAAGATCTCTGTACAAGATCTCTAACTCTAAAAGAGCTCTCTGTACAAGATCTCTACGCAAGCTCTCTATAAGAGACCTCCTTGTGCAAGATCTCCTTGACCATCAAAATGAGCACCGCACCGCAGCGAGAGCGATCTGACAGGCCCAAAGTGACCACAGGGTTGCGCGAGCGATCTCAAAATTCGCACCGCACCACAAAAAGAGCGATCAAAAACGACGTTTTACCTAGGTCTCCGTCACTTTTTGTCGAAGTCCACAAAGTACTGCGCCCCACGAAAATTGAGCCCAAGGCATCCGAAGTCTTGCGCCCGCCACACGGAATCATCATCATGTCCCAAATCAAATTCGGCGACGGTTTCACAAAACACAATTTTCGACCCTGTCAAGACGTCGTCCAAGTTCATCAAAAACTGCGCCTGCCACGAAAAATGGCCTCCAAGAGCACTTCTCACTTTTACCCATGCCTGCCAACATTTTAGCAACGTGCGGACAGTGCCAAGCCCGCCACGCGGATGAAAACGTGTTTGCACCTGTCACGCAAAAAAATGTCTTAAAAATGTCCTGAAAGTGCCACGCCTGCCACACAAAATGGGCAGAATTCAAAAAACGAGCACGGCGCGCTAGCAAAACGAACCCTTCGGAAGAGAGGTCCGCCAGCCACCGTTTCGTGCGAGACTTCCGTCGAAAACGGAAGATGAGGGAACTTTTGTGCTGCAAGGGTCACCGAATTTGCGGGACACCACCTCGACTGAACACCGGGCCTAGCTGTTACCATAAGAACCCTTCAGTGTGGCCACGCTGTTTGGGGAAAAAATAGACATGTCGTAACGTCGTATATATATATATATATAACCGAGAATCTCAATTCATTCTGTGTTTAAGTGTTCATTGAGGAAGTACATTCTATAAGGTTTTCTCTTGTCTGATTCATTTCTAGACTTGTTTTAAGTTACGGCTAGCGTCATGAGAGCCAAAGTATGGAGGCTTCATGAATTGCATCGTGTTTGAAGGCTGGAGTAGTGCCTGAAGAAGCTTCCAAGACCGAGCAGATGCTACGCCATGCAAGTATCAACTTGGTCAAAGGAGGTGTCCTGCATCAAAGTTCAGCAACTGACAGCTATCCTCCGAGCAGCTATGTGATCAAGTTGAATTTCAATACAGCAGGACTTTGAGTCTTCCAGGATAGGTTCTAAAGGTGGGACATGTAGATTTCAAGTTTGGCACCAAGGTGAACTCAAGATTTTTACGCCGATGTACTACGTGTTGGCGGAGAAAATTTGAACTTTGGATATCTCCCGGCCAAAACCGTGGAAATTGAATTCGCAACAAGCAACCCATGCGAATCTCTTTCAATTAGAGCGCTGAGCGTCACGCTTTTCGCAAAGTGCATCTTTTGCCAAAAATTTCAACCACCATACCATTTTCCAACGTATCACCTTTTGTTTGGCACCAGTCTCTGGTGTTTTCAAGTGTACATTCGAAGATGGTGTACAGCAGGCAAAAGAATGTTGCTTGGCTTCAAACGTTTTTTTTTGCGCCGTGCTATACTTGTGGTTTCGACTTCAGTTGTCAAGGATCCCATGCCATGTCAAACATCAAGTTGTCACAGCACATCGACACCGCTGACATGCAAATAGTCTCTGCCCAGACTGGGCGAACTGGGAAGGTGTTGCCTCAAGTATGCTTCATAGCACATCCTCAATTGTCGGGCACCAAAGGACCAGTTCATGGAGATTCTTGTGAAGAGACCTGAACATTTTCTTGGTTTTTGCTTTGGGTTTCGACAGCCCTTTGATTTGCTCAAGCTCGGATAGCAATGATGACACCAAGTATGCACACGTTTTGGAACAGCAAAAACCCAATTGACACAGACCATTTTATGAGATGTCATTCTTTTCTGGAGGAGGCCATGGCCCAAGCATGCTCCTGATTGCATGCGTGTTGTGCTGTGTATTGTTGGATTTCACGTCAAGTAATTTGTGGAACTTCACTCAGTTGCCAGTTGGTCAGCAGAGGAGATTTCTGACGACAAGACACGTGAGCAGCGGCTTTTTACTCTTCAACGCTGAAGCCACATCCAAGGAAAAGTTCATGTTAAGCAAACTCTTTGATCTGTTGAATGAAGTGCCCAAGGAATTCAAGGCACTGGATTGGCAACCCCAGGATTCGAGGGGAACAAGATATTTCAATGCAATGGATAATAGATGCGTCGAGTATATCGCAGCTGGAAGAGAGGATTCCTGGTCCGATGCAGCGCAAACGGATTTCAAGTCCAAGGGATCCCGATCCTTGGAGAGGATATCCAGAAAAATCAGAAACTTTATTTGGTGTTTTTCTTGGAATGTTGAGACGAACAGGTATGAAAGTTATTCAAATATATGAGTACAACATTTGACACAGTTTGAACTTAGGTTTGATTTGATGTTATGATGTAATCTTCTTGATGTAATCTTAAGCCATCATGTTTAATCAATTTTCATTTTTTTAGTGTTGAAGTCTACAGAGGCGATCAGGGAGTTCCGATTTCGTTCATAGAGTTTGAGGAGCGCTTGGTACGTTTGCCCCTGGACAAGGGTTTGGTGGATGTTGCGATGTTGCAGCCTGGTGCTGCAGATGCAATAGGACCGAAGAACTTCCGGCTGGTTTTCCGAGAGACCTCGCGTCTTTTGAAGCCAAACAGCCGCTTCCTGGTGTTCATTGATTCTACAAGAAAGCTGCCAGCCACAGCTGCAAACTACTTTGACATTGAAAGACGTTTCAAGCGAGACACCACGAGATGCTATCGACTGATTCGAAAGATACGAAAACGGCCACGCCCTGTCTCGAAGCCTGAGCCTGTTCAGGGGTCCGCCACAAAGGCACCGGTGAAGGCGGCCAGGCTCAAGCGACCTAAGGCTCTTTCAGTTGATGAGCTCCAAAGTGCACTCGTGGATGATGAAGACAATGAGGACAATGAGGATAATGAGGGCGAAAAAACTGGATGATTTCGACCTATTTGGATCTTTTCTATATTGTGAATATTTTTGATCCGTTTTGCGTGTCAGGAAAACAGATCGTGCGGAATATGCATAATTATTGTGCTGTTTGAGTTGGCGTTCTTGATAGTAAAAAAACACCAAGCAGTTCCCGGCTGCACCGGCGCAGAAGTTTCGACAATATATTCAGCGGCAATAGGAAATGAAGGCTCGGTGTTTGAATGAACGATTGATCGAATGGTTGAAGGGCTGAATTGACAACTACTGGTACAAGAATGCGTGAGTGAGTGGCTAAGGACCCAAGGACAGACTGAGTGAGCCTTCTCTTTGGCAACTTCTTCTCGCTGCCGTCTCTCCTCTGATTCTCCCCAAATCTTCTCTGAAGCTCTTCTCTGAGCTACCTCTCTCCCTAGGTGCTTTTACCCTGGGCCAACTCTCCTCTGACCCGCTTCTGCTCTGGGCGACTTCTTCCACGGGATATTTTTTTCTCTGTGCTACTGTACATGCATTGTCATTGTCTCTGACTGTTTCACTTTGTGAGCTGAAAACTACCCATTGACATTTGCCCGTGATTCGCACATCTTCTAACTCAATTTGCGTGAAGGCATTCGTCTGATTCTCTGTTCAGTGATGTCATCCGTGAACACAGTTCTGAGGCACCGCTATTTCACCGAGTTTCATCCTGCGATCAACTGGTTAATCAAGCCTGACCCTTTCTTTCCGGTGCGACCATTGCACCAGCATGAAAACGTCGTTCCAAGCACGCACGCCGAGGAAATCTGTGCCAACTGTGATTATTGGGGCATCAGAGCCAGATCCATCCTGGAAACAGGCCACCAGATGACGAACGAAGAACAGCTGAATCATGACATGGGACTTAGAATGTCGTGCTGTTCACTTGTCAAACTTCTCGACCGAAATCTAAAGGCGTGAATCCAAAGGTCTGAGATTTGGGAGTCCTTGATATTATTTTGGACTAGGATGAGCATTTGCTTCAGAAGCTCGGTGCCACGATAGTTGCCAGACCCTTAGCTGCCTTAGCCTTAGCTGTAGGAGGTATCCGTTTGCTGTTCTCTTGAGCACAATGCATGCCTCAGTAATTCGCATGGCCTGGAAAAAGTTGATGCAACAAAGAAAGCTTAAACTGATAACTGAAAAAAGGAACGTACCCACGACGTGCACAGGCATGATACGTAGCATGTACCTAAAGCCAGAAATCGGGTAAACAAGACCGAGACGATCCACCCCAGCCAGGCAACCCCTGGACATGCCGCACCGCCCGCCAGACAACCCCCACAAACACTACACATGCCACACAAAGGCTTCTCGAGCGGCATGACAGCGCGAAAGGAAATGCCGCACCTGCTGTGTGAAAAAGGCGGTGTCATGCAGACCGGGGCGGTCCACCCCAGCCAGCCAACCCCTAACCTATCCCGTAGACCTGCCGGACCTACCAGGCAAAAATGACGTGGTCAAAGTGGAAAGTGTGTGACAAAGTTGTGTGTGTGTGTGACAAAGTTGTATGTGACAATGTTGTTTGTGTGTGTGTGGGTGACGAGGTTGTATGTGACAAAGTTGTGTATGACAAAGTTGTGTGTGACAAAGTTGTGTATGACAAAGTTTTCTTTTGTGACAATGTTGTTTGTGTGTGACAAAGTTGTATGTGACGAAGTTGTGTATGACAAAGTTCTGTGTGACAAAGTTGTATGTGACAAAGTTGTGTGTGACAAAGTTGTGTATGACAAAGTTGTATGTGACAATACTGTTCGTGCGTGACAAAGTTGTATGTGACAGTGTTGTTTGCGTGTGACAAAGTTGTATGTGACAAAGTTGTGTGTGTGTGTGTGGCAATTTTTTGTGTGTGTGTGTGTGTGAGTGAGCTGTGCCTGACAATGTTTTATCTGACTAAGTCGTGTTTAAGAATGTTGTTTGTGACAAAGGTGTGTGTGGTGATGTTGCATGTGATGTTTAATGTTGTGCATGACTATGTTGAGCAAGTGTGTGTGTGTGGAACTTCTAAACAGAAGTAAAACCTCTACTGTTGCTTCTTTTTCAGCTTTCTGATTTCAGCAGAGGGCACAGGTGTCACCCTGGTTCCTGTGCCAACGAAGATGGCCAGAAGTCACAGTGATATCAAAGGGAGACGTCCCTTTGATGTACCTGCAGTGGTTTATCCATTTGGCTTCGATCGTCATGGCACGGGGCCAAGCCGAGAACCCCTCTCCGACAATTTTGGGTTCCGGTATGGTTTTCGCAATCTGAACGTTTTCGACTCTCAACTTCAATTTTGGGAACTGCGCTGGCGTGATGGTAGCTTCTTGAGCTTTTCGGGTCTCTTCGCTGACCCATTCCTGTCAGGTGTAATGGAAGTGTTTTTGCATGTAAGATGCATTCCACAACACAATTCGCGATGGCAGTTCTGAGCAAGTGTGTGTAGAACTTCTGAGCAGAAGTAAAACCTCTACTGTTGCTTCTTTTTCAGCTTTGTGATTTCAGCAGGGGGACGTGGCATGCAATCAGGGACCACGTCCAACGAAGCTACCTCATTGCATGGGATACAGAGCCTGATCAGCTCTGCGTCCTGCTCCAGTTTCCAATTCTGCACAATTGGCGCAATCTGAGATTGGGGTTGAAAGGACAACTTCCTTTTTTTTCTTTTAAAATTTGGGCATCTTACCCTGGACCCTCGTGACTGGTCAGTCTTATGTGTTCTCCTCCTCTGATCAGGAATAATCCGAGCGTTGTTTTGCACGACCGACTCATTCCACATCACAATTCGATAAGACAAGCCTGAGCAAGTGTCTTACTCGCGTCGGTTCGACAAGATGCCGTGAGCCCCTCGGGGAATACCTGTCTAGGTTGGATGTTTGATCCTCCGACCTGATCTCTGAATTTACACTTTTAATTTAATAATTCGTCTAAGTAAAGTGAAATAGCGGGCCTTTTTTCACTTTTCACCCTGTCGTTTGTCGTTGGTTGAACAACTGGCCGCAGTACCGGGCTTCTCCTTCTTTCGCTTTTCGCCCTGTCGTTTGTCGCTGTTTGAACAACTGGCCGCAGTACCGGGCCTCATTTCCTTTTGTCAGCCGTGGAAACCTCCTTTTTCAACTTTGATCGAGAGACTGACCAGCTTCTCATTGCAGCATGACAAGGTTCAGGCTTCAGGACATGCCTTTCAGGTGTGGTCACTTTCTTTTGGTTGATCTGGTGAGGTCAAGTTGTGCACGAATTCGAGAGTTGACTACTTCAGCTGTCTATGGGGTTGATCTGAATTTTGGGCCTTTGAGCCTGATCAGGGGATTCTGCATTGGATTGTGGATGCATCAATTTGTTTTTGGAACGTGTTGGATAATTTGATACTGAGTAGATACTGATTCTCCCTGCCTCCTCGCTGTGATCCATCATCCCCACCTGTGCCGCCCATCATATTTCCTTGGTCGCCATTCTCCTCCCCGCCACCGCCGTGCCACACGAATACCACTTGCCGAGCTGTACGTTCTCAGCACGGCACCTTAGGGTGACTGTGATTTTCGGTCGGAGGTTTCAAGTGGTTTTCCTGCGCTCAGCATCAGTCTTCCTTGCTTGCTTATCTCCTTTCCCCTTTGCACTCACCATCATTCACCTCATGCTTTTCATCCGTTTCGTTTAACTTTCTAGCCACTGCCTGCGGATCCAACTTCTCCACCCACAAAGGGCATTTACCGCCCATAATGTTCCTTGGCAGCCATTCTCCTCCTCGCCTCTGCCGCGCCACCACATGAATGCCTTGCCGAGCTGTACGTTCTCTGCACACCACCTTCAGGTGACTGTGAATTTCGGTCGGGGGCTTCAAGTGGTGTTCCTGCACTCTGTCTTCGCTGCCTCAGCAGCTTGCCACTTTGCAATCGCCTCAATCATCATTCATATCCTCCAACCACCGCTTGTGGGCTTCCAAAACGACCCTGCTAGTAAAACCTCTATTGTTGCTTCTTTTTCAGCTTTCTGCAGGGGGCACAGGTGTTACTCTGGTTCCTGTGCCAACGAAGATGGCCAGAAGTCACAGTGATATCAAAGGGAGACGTCCCTTTGACGTACCTGCAGTGGTTTATCCATTTGGCTTCGATCGTCATGGCACGGGGCCAAGCCGAGAACCCCTCTCCGACAATTTTGGGTTCCGGTATGGTTTTCGCAATCTGAGCATTTTCGACTCTCAACTTCAATTTTGGGAACTGCGCTGGCGTGATGGTAGCTTCTTGAGCTTTTCGGGTCTCTTCGCTGACCCATTCCTGTCAGGTGTAATGGAAGTGTTTTTGCATGTAAGATGCATTCCACAACACAATTCGCGATGGCAGTTCTGAGCAAGTGTGTGTAGAACTTCTGAGCAGAAGTAAAACCTCTACTGTTGCTTCTTTTTCAGCTTTGTGATTTCAGCAGGGGGACGTGGCATGCAATCAGGGGCCACGTCCAACGAAGCTACCTCATTGCATGGGATACAGAGCCTGATCAGCTCTGCGTCCTGCTCCAGTTTCCAATTCTGCACAATTGGCGCAATCTGAGATTGGGGTTGAAAGGACAACTTCCTTTTTTTCTTTTAAAATTTGGGCATCTTACCCTGGATCCTCGTGAATGGTCATATGTGTTCTCCTCCTCTGATCAGGAATAATTCGAGCGTTGTTTTGCACGACCGACTCATTCCACATCACAAGTCGATAAGACAAGCCTGAGCAAGTGTGTGTGTGTGTGTAACATCTAAAACAGATGTAAAACTTCTCTCTTTTTCTTCCTTCCGTCCTCTCCCTTTCTAAATAACGCAGGGGGGCAATCTCATGTTTGCAGCTGATTGCCCAACGAAGAGGGCTGCATTCATGACTGATATGACTCTGGGACGCTGGGGTCACGTACCTGCTATTTCAATTTTGACTGACATGGCACGCGGCCAAGCCTAGAACCGCACAGCTGTATTTTCACTTCACGGTTGTCGCAATCTGGAATTCTTTTTGGTCATTTACTATTGGTTCAGTTGCATCGCATGTTTCAGGATTCAGTTCCTGCCGGATCATATAATGATCCATTCTAATCTAGTGTGATTCCTATGGTGACTCCGACAAGGTGCCATAGGGCCAATTGAGGCAACCCCAGTTGGGGTCAATGTCGACTGACTTGACTTCCGAATTTACACATTTTAATTCAGTAATTCGTTTAAGTAAAGTGCAACAGCTGGCCTTCCCGTTTTGCACCTTTGACGAAGTCCTGCGGCTCCTGTGGTCCCAGGGATCCCTCGCCACAATGCCTGTCTACCAGAGCGAAGCCGTCCGGAACATTCAGAAACCTCCGTTTTTGCAACAACTTTTGCAGCGTCATTGCATCACGTCACGACATTTGAATCAGGCAGGCACACGACTTGCAGGTGTGGTATTCTTTCCTTTTGGTTCTCTGGTGAGGTGAAACATATTGTGCATCTAATTCGTTGGAACTTGACAGCCGTTTTTATGCCCTTGTGGCTGACTGGAACACGGGCCTGTTGTGGCACAATTGCACGACCTTTAGGTTTAGGAACTGAATCCTGTTATTTAACTAATTGTTTTGGTTTCTTTGTCTGTCACCAACTAGTCCCCCATTTGGTCCCTAATTTTCCCCGCGTGCCTCTCCGTAATGTGTCGTGGGGTTTAGGTGTGTGCGCTGTTTTGGTCAGGTCCGTTTCGCCGTGTAGGTTTGTTCCGGAGGTCCGTCTGTTCCCCTCCCCCCCCTGCGCTGTTTTTGGCCGTCTGCCCGTCGTGTGTCCGCTTTTTTCTTCCTCTTGCCTTTCAGGGTTGTCCCGGCTCTGGCCGGGTGTGTGTGTGTGTAACATCTAAACAGATGTAAAACTTCTCTCTTTTTCTTCCTTCCGTCCTCTCCCTTTCTAAATAACGCAGGGGGGCAATCTCATGTTTGCAGCTGATTGCCCAACGAAGAGGGCTGCATTCATGACTGATATGACTCTGGGACGCTGGGGTCACGTACCTGCTA